TGTGTCAATCAATATCTTTCATGGGCAACAACGTGACATGCGGAACAACACGTAGGTTCCTCCTTACATTTTATTGTTCTTTTAACCAAACTAAATAAACATGAAGAACATAACTTAACTGAAAGTTATTTATTTGTTTATTTATTTATGATTGAACATTTCATTTTAATACTAGTATTTATGAACTTTTTTTTTTTACTAAATATTAAAATAATTAAACAAGTTGACTCAGATGGCAGCTACACTAACTATAAGCTTTATCAAAAAGAAAAATGTATGTATAATCTTATAACTTGGCTGCTTTCTGTGATTGCAGTTATTTTCTATTTTGCAACATTTTTTTCCTTTACATGTGTATATGTGTTAGTCTCATTTTGGTGTTAGGTAATCTCTTTCATATATTGCCTAGTCAAATTTTTGTACCTTGTATTTGGTGTATGTTTATGTTTTTGTACTTGTGTTTGTGTTTGTACTTCTCAAACACTATAGTTTTAGTCGCACCACAACACTAACTGAAAAAACAAATGGCTTGATATCCTGTATAAATTTAAAATTGAGCAAAAACTCATGATCCGTCAACATTGCCATGTAGCTTCCTCTCATAAGTCCCACATTTCTACGTAAAGAAGTCTAACTATATCTCAATGACAAACTTATAAGTGAGTAAACTGTAACTGAAGCACTTACAGTACAAAAAGCTTTTTTATAATTTTTTTCACAGATAAAAATCACAACGTTCTGTACAAGAAAGAAAAACAGGGCCTATAAATGAACATGTGAATAAGTTCATTGGAAAATAAATTAGAGTACATCAGATAAAGGCATTTCTAAACTACAAATATTCCTAAACAAAGTTTGCCATTGCTTTCAAATAACTTTTATTTTTTTATAGGTCAAACAGATGACAATTTTTCACAAAGCACCAAATGGTTCATCCTAAAGCAGGTGTTCTTAACTTTTGTAATATTTATATGCCTTAAAGTTTTGTAAATATAGTATACTGTTAGTTTAAATCCAACTATCCAGTTATATCTTCAGAGGGTTGTTAATGAACATTAGTTAACAAGAAGACCCTTGAAGAACACAAGGACAACTGCATACAAGTCGGGACTAAATGTAGGCTTAATTCAGAGTGAGGTTAAAAAGCAGAAAGCTTCTCTTAAAAAGAACTACTTAATCTATCAGCCAAAAGGTACGGTGGCCCTGAGGTGCAAACCACTACAACATTAAAGGTGCACAATTACAAATAACAAAAGAACGACAACATTAAAGAAAGCACTACAACTTAAAAAAAAAGCACTACAACTTTAAGGAAGAGCTACAACATTAACAAACCTGAAGAGGTATCTCCCAGTGGGAGACCTAAGAGATCGCTGATTGGACTACAACTCATTTAACTTTTGTACCCGAAGTTATTCTGGCTTTAATTTGTTTTTTAAAAACATGAATGTTCTCGGTGATCCAAACTTTACTAGTACGATTCATGAGTATTTTGAGTACAAGCATGCATATGAGGTGATACTGGACATGCTCCAGACCAACAATGATGTGTCAGTTTTTATGTGGTCAGTAAAGACTTATTTGAAAGAAGCAGGGCTGCATAGAAGTGGCAACTACTCTCCACTTCCTGATGTTAGGTGTGGCATTATGACCAAGCTGAGAGGACCATGTGGCAAGTTTATGTGGCATGTTGTGCAGGGTAGGATGGGACAGTCTGTTGTGCTAGAAGTTAAGTAAAAATGTTGCACATCACATTCATGCAAACAGAGATAGAGATGTGTATTACAAACTAAAGTAAACACAAGTCTAATGCTATTTTCATACCAGAAAGGCAGCCGCTGCTTCATTTTTCATGCTTGTACACAGTAAGGTCAGATGCAAGCATGTCAAGTGTTTACAGATGCATCGGCTGTTCCTGCATTCAATGGCAGAAAGCATCTTTCCTATATTTGCTGTGATAAGTGGGAAAATGCTACGTTCAGACTACATGCAATAGAAGCAGCCCAAGCAGCTGGTTTACATGCAAAGTCAATGGTTGCCATACATTAAAAGGGTCTGCAGCGCAGTTAGAGCAGCAGGAGCAGCGCCTCATGAGCTGCTAAGCATCTGAAGCACGGGACGCACCTCACGAGCAGCAGCTGTTGCAGTTGTAAAAATTTAAATTTTGATGCTGGATTCGCCACATCAACCAATCAGAGAAGCTAATCTAGGAACTTAAAATATTAAGGCTGGAAGTAAATGTTAGCATTTTTCAGGTATGTATGTGGTACAAACTGAGACACCAGAATAATCAAAGCAAACAAATTTTGATGGCAGGTTGCGACATTTTAAGTTAAGGCGTTAATAATTTCAGGAGAGTGATCATAGCTCTCTGCACCAGCAGTGCAGTATGATAAGTCTTTCTTTATGCTTTCTTTAATGTTGTAGCGCTTTCTTTCATATTGTAGTACTTTCTTTAATGTTGTAGTGCTTTCTTTAATGTTTTATGGATTTTGTCATTTGTAATTGTGCTTCTTTGATGTAGTAGTAGCTTGCACCTCAGGGCCATCGTAATGAAAGGTTGACTGGATGTACCTACAGAGAACACATGTATAAACAAGATAGATTGCAGGCCACCATGCTAAATCAGGACCTTCATGCTGCAAGTATTACAGCATCAAACCTTTCTGTTTTTTGCAGGTTCCAATTGGTAATTTGAAGTCTTACCTTTGATGAGGAGCTCCAGGCCTTTACACTAACTATAATCTGCCTAAACAGATTCAGGTCAGGACTATGGCAGGACCACTCCAAAACATTAATACTACTTCCATTAACAAAAAAAATGTTGGTCAGTTTAAAGATTACTTCCAAACTAAATCTGCCAATGATGCTGAGGATTCTTTAAATATCTGGTGAGAAGTACACTTTTCCATTTGTCAAACATAATTAAGCCACATCGTTTCCTTTCATGCTACTCTGGTGTTTAGGTTTCTTAACAAAATCAAAGAGTTAATTTGGGTGAATGCTTACATGGGCCTGCTGCCTGGATGGTCAAAGGACTAAAACTTGTATAAATGCGGGTGTGAGCCAAAAAACCCCAAATATTGTGATGTGTTGTCACTTAGTATTCATCACTGTCTTGTCAATTCATTGAATGAAATACTTTGCTAAGTCTGCTTTTAACAGAAAAAAGACAGTTCATAAATTAGGGCATTTTTATAATAGTAAAATGCAGAGTTCACTATCAAGTTACCTGGTATTTATACTTATGAAAAATTTGTTTTGAAATTCAGTTATAAAATCTAAAGCTGCTGAAAAACAAAGCTGTGTGTAAAGGTTTGCTATTAGACCACCTCTTATTCTATTGACTATGGTGGGAAAAAAGTGTCAAAGGAACATGAAGGGTAGTTTAGGAATATATCATCCAGTTCGGGGAACCTCAGCACTCAGCATCAGAGTATGCAATGCATTCATTGTAGCTTTTGTCTTCTGTTTATGGTTACTGCATTGTTGGAAGATGAACATCCGCCTCAGCCTCAAGTCTCTTACAGCTTCTAACATGTCGGGGGGGTATTTGTGGTAGATTTAGTTTCATCTGTTTTCATCGGTTCAGGGTGATGAGTAGGGCTACACCACACAGCCCTTTGCAAGTTTGTGTATTCAGTTTTAGTCTAGTCCTAACCAGATCACCTATTTCCAGCTGTGCCTCACATGGCCTGTGACAGTCTTTATTCATTCGTTTTGTGTGTCTTCATGCAAAAAGTCAGATTTGTGGAGTACAAAAACAGCTGTCAGGTCCATAGATTCTGTAAAGTGAGTTTTAAATTTCTGCAGATCCTTCAGAGTTACTTTGGATCTTTGGCTATTTTTCTTTAGGTAATACCCTCTTACCTGGTCTTTATTTCCATTGCTACGTGTCCAGTTAAAAGGGGCACTATTCAGACATTCAAAGCTTATCTAATTATTTTTGGGGGAAATGGAGTCAAAATAGAATAAATGCACATAGAATTTAGTACTAATAGTTGTCAGTAGACTTGTTTAAGATGGTGTCATTTTTTTTGTTGATGAATGGAGGATGGATATTTTACCAAGATTACATTAAAGTATTTGTGGCTATTTTTTTAAGTTTGAGAAAAGCTCATAAGAAGTCTGAACTGTTCTCACAAGATGTTAAATAATCTTCTTAGTTTGAGGTTCAGTTTAATCTGAATTTGTTGAAAAACAGAAACTCCCATAAGGTTTTAGTAATGTACAAACCTTTTTTTTTTTTTTTTTTGGCTCTGTCATTTCAAGTTCCAATAAAATGATTTGAAGATTATCACTGTGTTTCGATAAGTAGTCCCTTTGGACCAGCTCAAATATGATTAACCTTGAAAATTGTTTAAAAAAAAGACCTTGAAATCAAATTCCTGAGTTTTTTTCCCCTGATTTGTCTCATTCTTTGGAAAATTTAAAGAGGAACAATATATTAATCTCTTAGAATAGCATTTGGGATTTCTATGTCCATGCCTCTAGAGCATATAGAACAGAAAAAAACGGTACTTTAAACCTAATACATATGATTATACCAAAGAAAATACAGGCTGAGGTTATCAGAAAAGTTTGACAATGAAATCTTCTCATTTTTGGTTAGAAGTCATAAAATTATGAAAACATTGTCGCCCAATGCATTACACCCTGAGATGGTTATAAAACTGGTGTTAATGCATAAAACCTGTTAAACAAAGAGACCGGCAATAAAAAGTATCCTGGCCAGCTGTCTGTGGTTTCTCTCAGGGTGGCTCCCCTCACACGCACATTCCCACAGTTTTGGCGGTAACCAGAGAGCCGCCTACCATCACCAACAATAGAGCAGCTGCTCATCAGCACCAGGATGCTCTTCCTGACCCATGGCTTTCTGCGCTCTCGCGCCTTTTTTTCTTTTTCTTTTACCCATTCTAACCCATTATTAAGGTTCATGACACATCTTAACTGCTGCAGCCAAAAGAAGCAAAAATAAAAAAGACAAGTACTTTGTTCAGCAAATGTTTATTTTTGTATTTATTCAATTAAGAAAACAACACACATTTCACGACAGGGGAAAAAAAAATAAGGTCACAAAAACATTAGTTATATTGAACACATAGTGTTTACAAACTGTTCTGTTGCACAGACCAAAATAGCTTTAAGTCCATAGTGCAACCCTCCAAAATTAAATAACCCTTGGGGTTTTACAAAAGTGTTGTCTACAACCCGTCTCTTTGAAACCCCAAAGAGGATTGCGCTTTAAAACGTTCATAGACTTCAGTTTGTTTGCGATCTGTGCTCTTGCCCTCAGGCAATACAAGCAACCAAAGCAAAATGACATTGCTGTACTATCAAGCAATTGTTTCAAATATCCACTTCTAAAGCATTATATAATACAGTTAAAATACGTACAAACAGATCAAAATAAATGACATGGATTGGTTAAACGTCTATCAGTTCTACCAGGGCCTCCACATGGCAGCGCTGATAGGCTGCTGGAGGGCCTGCGCTCGGCTTGGAGCTGGGACGCACATTGCGCTGCGGGACTGGCCCTCGAGTCTGGAGCCAAAGTTAGACTTGAGGCTCAGAAGCCTCTGCTGGATCTGAGGGAGAGTCTTCTGGCTCTGGGCGCAGCAGTTCAGGCAGGTGGGTGTGACGGTGGTGGACATGGTCTGCTGGATGAAGTCGTGCACTCGTTGGCACGCGTCCTGATCCAGGTTGGTTTTGGGAAGTAACGCGGAAACCCGCTGGAGGCAAGCTTTGTAGCCTTCTTTGTAACTGTCTGTAGAGTCTGTATGGAGAAGATTGGAGATCTGATTAGGGGGGTGACTTTAAATGAAAGCACAATTAAAAGAGAAGATAATAAAGCGAAGCCTTCTTAGTGGAATATGAGGCTCACCTTTGGCTGGAGAGGAAGGGAGATCTCTGATGAAGCGCACGGTCATCTCCAGAATATCAGCTTTCTCAAGCTTTGAATAACGTGCGTTGTCTTTGCCAACCAGAGGCAAAATCAGGCTCTTCAAGTGATTCAGGCTGTCATTAATGCGAGCGCGTCTTCTCTTCTCCAGCAAAGGCTTTAAAGTCTGGAAGAAATAACAACCATTTTTAGTTTCGGTGATCAGTGTTTAGAGTAGGCTACATCTTGCATGCTCAGAATATCTCTTTTCCTTACCTTTCTGAGTTCGTTGGCTTGCTTTCTCTGGGCCACAGTGGAGCGACCAGGATGAGGCTGAACGCCCTCAGGAGTGATGCTCGGACTCATTTCGTTCACTGTTGCAGTTGTGATTTTTGTACTTTCCCCTAGAGGAGCTGGGCTCGAGTGTGTCAGACTGTCGGAGAGCCACCTATTTATAAGGCTCCAGTGCGTCAGAGGGGAGGGAGCACAAGCTGCCAGGATGGGGGCGGGGAGGGGGGGTCGATCCCTTTGGGGAAAAGACCAGAGTTGCTGTCTGGACCATCTGGTCCCCGCGTTTGTACACCGGTATGCGGAGTTTCGTGTCTATATTTTGTTCTCTTTTGAATAGAATTTAAAGCTTTAACGTTCAACCCAGATCTGGTTACATGTCCCTGTAACTGAAGTGCTTTCCCCTTCTAAGCCCCAGAAACTGACTGATAGTAGTTTGTCCGGCTCTGTAAAACCAGTTTCTTTAACCGCATCTTTAATAAATAAAAATGGAATTTATTTTATAATGATCTAAAACCACTATTTTTAGTTTTATTCTTTGTATTTTACCTTCAAGTATATCAATGTAACTAAACAGTTATATTTTATAGAAAGTCGCAGGGCTGGATGTAAAGAATCAAAAAGTTAGTTTAAAATGATTAAAACATGAAGATCGTTGAGCTTCTTTTGCATTGGGAGTCTGTGTCCCGCCACAACCAAACAAAAGCAAAGCCAAATGAGTGAATCTAAAGTGACGAGATTAATCTTCCAAAAAGGAACCAGATACCCAAGCCACGCTATGTATGGATTAACATCTGTTTAAGGACCCCCAGAAGAGCCTGTTTCATTAAGAACAGGACCAATTTTACACCTTTAAGCGAAATAATATGTGCACTTTTACGGGATATGGATGCATTTTGATTAAAAGCAGATGTGATATAAAATAAACAGGTTTGTCAAGAAAATATTTAATAAAAATATACAGGCTAAGGTTTAAATCCAGGATCATTGCAAGGCAGTTATTCTGCAAGGTTTCTATGTTTTTAGGATATGTAAACACAATCAGAGCAAACAAGCTCAATTTTCAACTCAAATTTTTATTTTTTGTATTTGATTTTCAAGACGGTTTTAATCGTTTTTTCCTTCATCTTTGATTTTACTGATACAGACTTATATAGCCTAGGGTGTGATTCACGCGCTCGGCACGCGCCACGATCGGCGCAACAGATGGGAACCTTCTCCTTATGACATCCCCCTCCCTCCCAAACCACAAAGGCCCACTCCCCTCTCATGTCTGCCACCGCTCCTCTACTTCATGTTCCCACCGTCAGCATCCAGGCTCTGTGCGCCTTTGGTCTGTTCATTCAACAATGGATCTATTGTGCTTTTATTTTTGTCCAAAACGACTATAGTTATCTAACGAGATCAAATGTTTACATTATTTTGCTTTTTCCAGTTAGCAGTGTCAAAAATAGCTACTTATGTCACAAAAAATATTACTTCCTTGATTCATTTTGATATATAATCGAACATTTAAATGGAGCAAATTGCAGTTTTACGCACAATGTTCACACATAAAAGTGAAGTTGTGTATAAAAGTGCATGGAAATATGAAAGTGCATGAAGCTGTTCAACTTCGGTTTCAAAATCAGATAACGATTCAGCTGAAAATGTCATTATTGGGGAAGAAATGTTGCTGTTCTTTGTCCGGCTTTTGCAGATAGGGGGGTTTTGCACGCGTCCTGCCTCATGGGGCCTCAGAATAACTGCCATCTACTCATGTCTGGGAAATGGTCCTTTCAGATAAGACCCCAAAAAAGGGGATGGAGGGATCGGTTGGAAAAAAAAATGTTTGTCTTGGTTTCAGCGTGGGTATCCATCTGCGCTAGAAAGATGATCCTTTGTTGAAGCACGGACATGAAACATGTTGGATATATTTTTTTTTATGGGGAAAATATAAAAATATTCTGACATTTAATGTCTCTGAGAAATAACTTAAATTAATTATTGTATTTTTCGTTTTAAATCAGAATCTCCATCACGCTATTGGAGGTTAAAAAGAAACAAACAAACAAAAAAACACTTTGCGACATGAGCAGAATAGCTCAGAAAAATGACTCAGCTTCACTTTGGCGTGACGCAAGAAGCGTCGATGGGCTCCATCCTCAGAGAATGGTCCCTTAGCAAACCTATAAACAGGCTCCCGTAGTGTTTGTTTCTTTTTATCATGTTTTTTTTAGAACGTCTGGCTTCCCAAGCTAAAATCTACGCCATCATCCACATGGCACTGAAGCGTCTGAACACGTCTGGTATACTGTTGCGTCTCCTTTTAACTTCTCACCGTAAAAAAGGGTCAAACTTGTTGGATAAAAAAGCATTTAAAATGCACACTGATGGGATAAAGCAAAACAGATAAAATAAGCAAATGTCTAAAGATACAAATTCCTTCTAGACATTTAGAATTGACAAAACACTATTTTGCTTGAGAAGAGATTCAAGAAAATCATTCAGATGTGGATTTTTAACTTTATTTTGTTTTTCTTCAAAGCAAATTCATGAATATTGATTGATACAATAAATGATTGTTTCTTCAGGGACTGTTAAAAATAAACAGTGCATTTTCTCCCTGCTCAGAAATCTTCTCTTTCTAACATAAACTCATAGTTTTCACCATTTGTTAAACCCTGACCAAGCCATAAATGTAAGTTTTGTTATGGGAATTTTATTTGACTGTGCAATATTGCATGCAGACAAAAGAAAACTAATACACAATTCTGAACTTTTTTTAAAATGTGTTTAGTCTGCAGTGGAGTGCATTTGTATTCAGATTCATTTTGATCTGATACCTTTAACATAAAATCCAAAATGTTTGCCATCTGCACTTGATTCAGGACCCTAGAAAACAGAAATGAAGACCATAAACACAGCAGACAGGTAGGGAAGATACTTAGGGAGAATTTTAAAATGATTTGTTTTAAAAAGCCAAATCTCTGCTTTATGTCCAAAAAAAACAGTCCTTATTTAACAGCAGTGTTCAAATCATCATCCTGAAAAGGAAAATTATGACCAGAGGTGTGCAGTTATTATTTACATTCACTCAGTTACATTTACTTGGGTACATTTCTAGAATTTAATGTGCTTTTATGAGTAGCTGTACTTTTTACTTTTACTTAAATAATATTTGTGTAAGAGTATCGCTACTCTTACTTGAGCATAATTAATCTGACATCAGGTGAAATTACAGTGGATACTGGAGCTTTATTCTTTCCTGACATAAATGCATAAAGATTGTTTTTATATGTTTATGTTAAAAAAATATTTGAAAAAGTGTTTCCTCAACTCAAACTTGTTATTATGTAACTATGCTATCTGTTTGTATTTATTTTATTTTATACTCTAAAATACCAGAAGTAAGACATAGCTCCTCAGTTGGTTACATCAGTTTAAGCATTAAATAAGATTTTAAGGGTTAACAGTTTACTTTAGTACCCATTTACAAAGCTTTTTATTATTATTATTATTTTTATTTTTACTTGTGTAAGAGACATATTAAAGAAGGTGTAGTGTTACCTGTGTAAAATCTTTGGTTCAACCCACCTCTGAGCATCACAGGCTGGGCAGAGAGAGAATAATTCAGGGAAGCGGGTAACAGGTCCACAGTTGTGAGAATCTACCACAAAAGCAATCCTGCATCCCATAAATTTGATATTTATATTAGAGTGGAAAGAAAAAATATAAGTCCATTGTTAGAACCAATAGGTAGAGCATCCATTACACATACAAGAACTTTAGTAAAATCCCGTTTTTAGTTTAAAAGGTTCCTTTTTAATGTTTAATACTTTGTAATGTCATTCATTTTGTGAGTTTTGTTTGTGAAAGGTGCAGCATTAATTAATTTCATTTTCACACTGTTAGGGAACAAGAAGAGAACAAGACTCTCCACCATAGGCCATTGGTCATGCCAAAGGCCATTCAAGCTTCCACCACAAATTCTCACAATCATTTCTTCATAGACTTTGCTTTATGCAGTGGTGAACAGTCATGTTGACACAGAGGGGATCCATCTCATTTCACGCTGTTCCCACACAGTCAGGATACGTTACATACTTACACTGTACTGGAATGCTAAAGCATGAAAAGTTCCTTTCACTGGAATAATACACTGTAGATGTCCTTGCAATGGCCAAATACAGGCTCATCCATGAGATTAAAACTGACAGAGGCCTGGTTTGCCACTCCATAGAGCTTGTCCCTACTGCTCTAGAGTTTATTGCTTTATACCAATTGGTCACTGTGCAATGTGTTGTAATTCCAGCAGCTTTCTATGTCCTGCTCTTGAGGAAATCTGAGGCTCACAAAAATTTTGTTGCTATTGACTTTGCAAAAAGTTGCTGTACTGTACTTTCAGCTGCTATTTGTGATTTCAGCAGGTTGCTATTTTAGCAGGTTAATATTCATGCTAATACATTTTCTATGGACTAACTCAGGGATAAAGTCTTAAACACAGAGTAAAGCAGGGACTGCGATTAGGCTAACATTTTTGTTTGTTTGCTTTGGGTGACCAACTTCAACGGTGCTGCAGTGTAAGAATACCAATGATATCGAAGTACATCATGGGGAAGGGAATTTACTCATATTTATTAGCACATTGGGAATGGGAAAGATAATGCGTACATCAGTTGGAGATACCGGCAGTGCAAAAACATGAAAAACATTTTTTGTGTGTAAATCTTTGAAAAATAATAATTTCATGATCTTTGGGTTGTTTGTTAATCCCATTCACCTGCCTTGCTCCAGCCACTTTCTCATTACCTCTCATTTTTTGTCACCTACTCAAGCCTCTATTTAACCTGCTTGCTTTGAGTCATTAGAGCCAGATTAATCGAACCTTTTGTGAGAGTCATAGCGAGTCATAGCGAGTCATAGTGTTTTCTGATTGCCTGATCCTGACCCGTTCTGCCTTTGGTCCTCAGAGCCTCCCTGTTCCTGTTATGAACTGATTCCCTGACCTATCTTCAGACTCCTGCTGGATCCTGCCTGTTGTGCAATCCTGAAACTGCTTCCTGACACTGACCTGGGACCTCTTCAGATCTATGATCTCCTGAACCTCCTGAACCTCTTCGACACTGGCTTTGGCTTCACCGTTGAGAT